ATCTAGCTCAGTGTTTTCACTGCCTGCCTCCAAAGCACAAGGTTCTGAGTTCGATCCCTGGTACAAAAAAAAAAAGCAGGTAATAAACAGAATATATAGATTTGCTTTATTTTTAATTTATGATACATAGAGAAAAGGGGTGGAAACACTTGCATAAAAATGTTAATACTGTTAATATTTGTAGTTCTGTGTTTTTTTAATAAACATTATATTATCTGATAAAAATGTCCAATTATAGTATTATTACATTAAAAGTGTAATAAAAATAGGAAAAAAATCATTTGCTCATACCATTAGCAGTTAAACACAGGGTCTGAGACTGCTTTTCCCACTGTCTGACCATCCCTTTCTGCCTTGCTGGTTTGGGACCACACTATAAATAGCTAATTTAAAAAGCCCATGATACAAACTATAAAAAGCCTTTTATTGTTTTTGTTGTGCTTCTTTTATTACAGGCAGAAACATGCATGGAATAATAGAAGATTTCTAAGAAAACAAAACTGAAACTGTCCCGTAGAATGAGTCTCTTAACAAGTTGAGTAAGCTGAACCCCCATCTTGATAAATACGGTCTTCCTGAATCCATGGGACTATTCTGGGACTCACACTTTCTTTTCTTTTTGAAAAAAAGCCAAATAAGGACTTTGAATAAGGAAATTACTTTGTAGATTTTTTTTCTTAAAATTAATTTTTTGGTACATTTTAGATACACATAATGATAACATTCACCGCAGGGGATTTGTATCTGTACATAATATATCTTGATTCTTTTTCCTCAAGCCCCTCCCCTCCCTTCAGCCCCTTTTATTACTTATAAAAGCTCTTGTTTCCATTTTTATCCTTTTTTCTTTTTTTCTTTTCCCTTCCTCCTTTCCCCTTTCCTCCCGCCCTCTTCCCCTTCCCATTTGAACATTTTCTTCCTATATCTATTCCCAATATCTAGTTTAGATTTTTGTCTTTATTTACCCTTTTGGTTCCTCACACCAGACAAACAATGAGAGATTTAAATGTGTGTCGGAGACTTGTGCTTTCGCAGCAGAACTTTCTTCTCAAAACAGAATCTCCTGTCTAGCTTCTTGGACAGCCATCTCCATCTATGAAACTTGCCAATTAGAAGTTCCTTTGCCTTGGAAAAGTATATGGGACTCTTCTGAATGCTTACACAGAAATACTTTCTTGAATTTTTAGCTTCTTCTAAAGTGCTTAACATTTCACATGTTTCTACAGGTTATTAAGTCTGAGAAATTGAATAAAGCAGCAAGCTCAGGCATGAAAGGATCAGCAGAGATTTTCTCAAAATGCATCTGCCTGCTGCCAACAGGGCTTAGCTTCAGTCAAATCTGTCTCTGCCCTCACGCAGGTTATTAAGCCACATACTTTGAAGTTTCAACAATTTAGTTAAAGGGCTCAGCAGTCCAATTAAAAACAAACAGACAAATCAAAATTGTCCCAAATAGTCCCACTTAATTTGCCAAAAGTTGCTGTTTTATATTTATTGTTCTTATTGTTGAGCTAACTAATATGGCAATTGGTGTTAACAGTACTTATTTTTGAATCTATTAGTTTCAGAACTAGCAGAGGGTACAACTGTGGCAAAATGTCATGCTCTTATTTATTATTAACTTGCTTGTTTGAGGGGGGTCTGTTTTGCTGCACTACAGGTTTCCTTAATGCAAATTATTCTTATGGGATTGATGAATAGAAAAATGATATCAACAGAAGCAGATTTAGCCTAGAGTGAATTAGGCATTACATGCATATGATGATAATGTGTTTCTGTAAAATTTACTAAAGTGTGGTACAAATGACAGCAATTATTTGGGAGCAAGAGATACATTCTTAATAGAATTAATTCCTACAAAAGAGAAACTGAGAACAAATTTTAAAAAATAATTTAAAAAATGCCTAGACTCTTGGGGTTTTTTGATAACCCACTTAATGAAAGAATGGAACCATATGATCATATTGTAGAAAAATTTGAGTTTTCTGCTGGTTTGACACAAAAGACAGTCATTAACACAGATAACATACCGTATAATGTGCTAGTAGAGTGAGGACATAGAGAACTAACTTGTTAATGCATGTTAAAAATCCCAAAATATTTAAGACCAGTGACTACATGCAGAAACTTACAGAGCCCCATGTTCTTTTCCTCTTACAGTTCTTATATGAAAGAAACTTGATAAATATTTTCCCAAATTGCTAAAAATTCTAAACACTATAATAACACATAGTGGAATTTAGAAAGAAACTTCTCTAAAGTATCAATGAGAAAAAAGATTTTTGTCAACTTTGCTTGACGGGGGATTGAATTTTATTTTCTCCAGAGGTAAGATTATCCTTTATCCATTGTACCAAGAGATGATCAAGGAGAGTAGAAGTGAAAATGGAGTCAGCAAAATCAGTCAGGTCAATTAATTAATGAAAACAAATAGATTTTCTGTGTCTCATAAAGATTTTGGCAATTATCAGCATTTTAATATTGGTAAATTGTTGTGATTTGGCTCTTATTCTAAATTCTAACTGAAGAGTTACTTCTTGACCAAATTTGACATTAGTAATTTCATATACTTTTTTTAAAAGAAGTACTTCGAAAGTGTAGAGGATTGAAGTCCCTCATAAAGCTGCATCTGTCCCTGATTCCAGAATAACTTGAAATTCTAGGTGACTCCTATGGGATGTTCTCTGGCATGCTAATATTTTGAACTCAGCAGCAAGCTTTTTCACAATAAAAGGGAAAGCCTTAGGAGTATGTGCAGAAAATTTAAAAAAGCCTCAAAATAGAGGCACTTCTTCCTTTACTGCAAATGTGCCTCATTCTGTGTCACTTAGATCCTTATATGTTGCCTAGGTTGGACTGTCTGGGGAGGCACCAGTGAAATCTGTGAAAACAATTCTGCTTGTGTCATTACCCTCCATTTCCCACTCCAACTGATGAAGGTGATTCCCTTAAACTATAGTTTGGATTTTGATGAAATTGATCTCTGTTACAGGAAAATGTTACCAGGGGCTGGCATCTTGAAAGGGGAAACAGAAGCCCAGAATATAAATATACAAAGAATAAATGAGATTTTAAGTGTGTCTGAGGAGAGTTAATTGAACTAGAGTTTTATTAATATCACTATTATTTGAGATAGGATACTTGCTACAATGCTCCATAGGATTTGAGTTCATCTGTCTCATTTCTGTTTTCCCTACAAACTCCATTATTTTTGTACATTGTTTTGTATAATGATGTTGAATGTGAGCCTTTTCCAGAACCTAATTATGACAATAAGGCAGATACGCTTGCATTTATACCATGGCTATTTGTAAAAGATTTTGTGCAACTTCTAAGACGAACATGACACAAAGCAAAAATATAAGCTCTACGAAAAGAGAGATGATCTGAGAGAGGCAGGGTATAGAGATGTTAGGAACAAAATGTTTAAAACAACAAAAATTTGTCCCCAAAAGAAAGAAGTCCTGATAAATAAAACAGCACTTTTTTCTCTTCTTCCTGGCACCTAGGATAGGAAAATGCAGTCCTAATACAGTTTTCATTTTGGGATGAAATGAATCATAGAAATTTTAAAGTTGAGACCACATGGAAAAAATATCCCAGCACTGTGTGGAGCTCATAGTAGGTGCTTAGAAAATGTGGAAGAAACATGAGTTGTGCAGTCTGAAGAGCTTGTTTTCATCCTAGCTCAGTTTCTTACTGGATTTCTGACTTTGGTCATGTTATTTACCTCTTGAAACTTTGTTTCATCTGTGACAAGGGAATAATATCTCAGAAGCACAAGGTAAATACCTAATAGTGTTATATGATGATACTGTTGTTGCTATTATTATTTCACAAAGGGTACAGAATCATAATTCAGAAGGACAGATTATTATATACCACTTTAGAAAATCAAAGGCCATAATATTTGACTATTACCTAGGAAGGCATTCCTGTAGATACTTTGCTTTCTGAGTTGGGATTCAGCGTTTGAAAATGCTAGATGAAAAATGTCTCTCCTTGGGTAGATGCTATGACAGGTCTATTTTGCTAATGCTTTCAAACCTTGTCTACAAACTGCTTTTCAAAAGTAATGAAAATGGACATGACTTGCCAGATCCTGGCCCTGTGGTTCACCATGTGATGTCTGTGGTTGGGATGTGGCCAGAACAAATTCTACCACCTGGATTGTCAGCCAGGTGATGCCCTGCTTCAGAGTGGGTTAGTGAAGTCCCCACAGAACCGCACCCTGAGGGCTTCCTGGAGAAGCATGTGACCTGCTTGCTACATGTCCTTCTTCCTGTGATTGAGGTCCCTGCTTATGGGGCCAAAGGACTCTGCAGATTTGAGCCACCTAGTCAAATCTGTCCAGCTCTTCATGCAGATAGAAATCTGCCTAAGTCTTGAGTTACCTCATGGTAGGGGATAGCAGGTGCCAGACAGCACAGAGCTGGTCTGGGAGGCGCTGTGCTCTCAGCACTTTGAGCTTCAGGTTTCACCCTGCCCAGGCCCCTGTGGGTGGCAGCCAGTGGCTTGTCTGCTCCACACACAATGGAGCCAGGGAGGGGAGAATGTGTCACTGGGATCAGGGAGCCATTTAAGGGCGGTGACTGCTTTTGCTATCTCTACAGAAATGGAACTGCAGAGCCCACCAGATTTGGTTTTATATCAGTTTTCAACCTTAGACAACTATATTAAGTGCTCTTTGGGTTAGACTGAAATGCTTCAAGAACCTCATTATGGACTTTAATTATCATAGCGTTTTATAAAGGGGAAAGATGAGTCCAGCTGGGAGTCCACAGCTATCTGAATGCTGACAATGCTGGTTTGATTTCAGCAACTGCCGAAAGGTGCATTTTGTATTCTTTGCAGATGTACTTTGCCAGACAGGAAACTGGAAGGGGCAGAGTGGAAAAAACAACAAAACACCACTGATCTGTTTTCTTTTTTGAAATTGTAAATTACATAAAAAAGAAGAAAATCGAAACATGAATAGACAAAGACTTTATTTATTGCCAGGAGAGGCCCATTAGGATGCCGCACTGTGTTTCCATGGCACTGTGGAGACATAAACAGAAAACACGGGCTAATGCATTCAGTTAGGCAGAGATTTTAAAGTCTAATGTGCAATCTAAATATATATCACATGTATCTTTGTTATTTATTTATCTATTGTATATCCAGCAGTGAAGGAGGAGACTGGCTAACTAACAGGAGGTTGTGATCCATTTGTAAATGTGCCTACATGTTCAAGGCTTCAGCCTTTGATGATTTCTGTGGCTTCTCTGTGCTCTTTGTTGCCTCATAGCCATGAGTTAACTTACCTTTGCCTCTTTGAGACTAAGGATGGTAAACTGAGATGCTTTAATTCACCTTGCTTAAGTGTATATAATCATCAAGAGTGGTGAGGATGCAAGAAATCTGAGAGCCCATGGTCTCTTGACAAAGAGCAATTTTTAACAAACACAGGTTTCCTTTATGAGCTATGACAAATTTTCAAGAAAATCTGTAAATATGCAATTGTATTTAAAATCTGCTAATTTAAAAATTAGCATACTAACCCCATGCAAAAGGACAGGTAGAATACAAGGGCTACCAGTTTATACTTTCTGATTTGTGATAGTAACTTTGCTGGGGGTTTTGTTGTTGTTGGTAAAGACAAAGAGTCTTTAACCCTTTGATGGTACAAATTGTACAGTGCATATAATGCAACTGAGCCAAGGCCAAATCAGAGGCCAGGACCCAGGACTTTTGAATCCCAGTTCAATGAATTTTCTCATTGCCATAGTTTTGCTAACCTGTTAATTCTTTAGAACCTTTAGCTTCTATGTTTTCTGAGAAAAAGCAGGGGATAATATGGTACCAAGTTCCAAGGAGCTCAATAATGAGTGAACAATACATGAGCAGAACAAGAGAGAGTAATTCTATTCTATTGGAGACCATGCTTGAATACCACTCAAAGAATTCAAGATCAAGAAAGTTAATTATAAAACCAGAAATAGGGCTTTCCAGGCTCAGAGGATGCTTATAATTATTACTGCCTGCAAGAAATCAACTGGTATCACTGGGATTTCCACTACCCTTAATTTCAGAAAATCCTTTCTCATAAAGGTCTGTTCTTAAGCAAATATGGCCTTTCACACTTTTTCCCAAAACTTAGGTGTAAGCTTTTTCCTTTAGGACAGTGTGGTTGGGCTCAGGCTGACTGTGAAATATAGCATATATCTTCAGAGACAGAAGTACAAATCCTTGTTGCTTGCCGTCAAACAAGAAATTTTAAAAATTGCAGATAATATATTTTCTACACCCCTAAAATTAAAATGGATTTCTTGAAAAATATCTAAACAAATAAAAATAATGGCTCTAAAATGTCAAAAGCCAATCACTGACTTGTATTTTTATTTTCTTTCACTTTGTTTGCCTGTAATTTTGCAACTATGGTGGACTCTTTGTATTGGATTGTCTAAGGCTTCATTGCCTTTTGCTTTTCATATGGATCAAGTTTACACTGTGGTTGAGAACCACCCACTTTTCTTGTTCTTTTTTGTTTGTTTTTATTATCAGATGCCCATTGAACAGGAAACAACCCACTCTAGCTACAAAGTGAATATGTTTCTCTCTTACCTCCTGGTGTCGCAAAAAGGGTCTGGTTTTCTGTGAAGAGGATCCCCTTGCTACCAGTATCACAGTGTGCTCGAATTACCTGCCAAGTGCTTGCTGTGTAAATTATAGCTGCCTGGTGGGAGATTTAATTCACATGCTTGATGTTTTAAAAATATATTTTCAAGGTTGTACTCCATAAATCCAAGTTGTTGACTGGGTTATGTCTGCTCTCATTGTTTTCTTCTTCTTGTGTTTGGAATTAAATCTTCAGAGAGAGAAGGAAGAAGACAAAAGCTCCCTGAGAGTAACTGTTTTGATGAATTTCAATAATGAGTTAGCATAGATTACAGAATAATATAGCATACTACTTATATTTATTCATATAAAGCAGTACTTTTAAACCTTGAGAGAAACTTTGGGCCCCAAGATTGCTTTGTTCTGTTTTGCACACTTGGGTGCATGTGTGTATGGAGCTCTGACATACACACATTTAATGTAGACCATCATGTGACTTGGCATTGAGACACTGAGAAGTGATGAGCATTTCTTTTGTGTCTGGTTTCAAGTTTGGCATTAACTTAAGTACTTTGCCTTTTCTCACCCAGTCTTTCTCTTCTTACAGGAAATAAATATGGATTTGAATGTCCATATTAACTAAATGACATCCTGGGATCAGAGAAGTTGAGATAAAGAATTGGTGTTTGAAGGCAGACACCATGAGAATGTCTTAACAGATCAGAGATGAGCAGCGCTTGGTGTAAGATTTGGAGAGCAAAGTTTTGCTAATAAGTAGTTCCTCAGTAAGGAAGGAAAAAATTGCTGTAAGATGGAATAGTTTGACTAAAGATAATTATGATGCATCTTGTCATTCATTCATTCTCTCACAGTTCTAGGTATTAAACACAGGGTGCTCATCCTGAGCTACATTCCCAGCCTTTTTCATTTAATTGACTTAATTTTATATTGACACAGGGTCTGGATAAGTTGCCCAGGTAGGACTTAAATTTTAGATCCTCTTTCCTCAACTTTCAAAATTCTGGGGTTACAAGCCTGGGCCACCCCACCAGCTATTAACATTCTATTTTAAATTGAAATACTCTTGGAGTAGAGTCTTGTAGCTAAAGGCTGCCTCTCCTTTGCTGATGGGTGGGATATGTAAGCTAGACTCCCAAGCTTGGGTGGGTGAAGAATTGCTCTGAGTAGTAAATGGAGAGATGAACTGAGATTCCTAAGACTAAGGAAGGGCGAGGAACTATCTAGAGGGTCTCAGGAGGGGAAGGACAATCAGTGAAGTTGGGTAGGTCTCAGAAGAAGGCAGAAGAGGCGACAGCTTGGATAGTAAGGAGAAACAAGAGTGGGACAACTGATGAATCTGAATGGAATTTGATGGCTTTGAGGATCAGTAATGTGACGAAAAGCCTTTCGCTTGCTATGTCTTGTGTAATTCTCTCAATTGTTGATGAATGTTTTGGGTACATATGACTTACTTTTGCAGTCTGTCAGAAGACTGATATTAAGGTTGAAGGCAAAAAAAGTTTAACTGGGTGAAGTCTGTTGTCTAGATGAGCACAGCAGCAGTACCAGTAACAGCAGCAGCTGCTGCCAACAAAAACGATGCTGAGGCCTACAGTGTGCCAGGTGCTTTATATGCTTGATCTTATTGAATGTTTACAGCTCTGCAGAGCTGTTCCTGTCTGTACCTTTGGACAGTTTCATTCCTTTCCCACCTTGCTCTCTGGATTGGCCTGAACCTTTAACAAGATAGCAGGAGAGAGCATCCTTTTCCTCCAATCTGTGTTGTTTATTTTGGCATTTCCCTTTAACTAAGGACAGTGGCAAAGACTTGATACCAGAGTGTACATTTGTTGCCTAACACTCACCAAACCCAGTCTGTAAAAGTAGTGTTACACGGTATATAAAGCTTCTCCTAGATATATGGGCTGTAGTTGACCCTTTTTTTTGAGAACTTATTTTCTTTTCCTTCATGACATTCACAAACTCCTCCCTAGATTCTTTTGCAGGGGAGCTAAGGGAACCATGGTGCCACCCCTAATTATAGCTTATTTTATTTTCATGTGGTGTCTCATTATAATGCAATTACTACAAGTCAGTGGTATCTTGCCAGGGTACCTGGGTAATGGAATATGCTCAGTACAGACTAAACCAACAACTTGAATTTGATAGTCTCAGTCTTTCTTTGCTCTTGACTACCTTCCCCTAGGAAGTAAAATAAAACAAAGTACTCACTGCTTTCCTTTTTTTCCCTCTCATTTTGCCCTCCTCCTACTTTCCTCTTATTCCAAGGGCAGACTGCCCTGCAGAATGTCTTCTGAATCATCTCCTTCCCTTCCAAACCATAGATTCTCCTCTGATCAATACTTTACTGTGATTCAGTGATATAAAGAAGTAATATCATTTCCTGCTTTATAGACGAGATTTAGGAAGGTAAATTAAGCTGTTTAGTGTTCAAGGTCACATAGTTAGGAAGACCTGAAATCAGACCTGAGTCTGACTTTCAAAATCAGCCTTTCCTTTCCTTTCCCGTTCTCACTCTCTACTGGTTAGGGAGGATTTATGAAGGGCAATCAACAAATTCTGTCTTGTCCTACCATGGAAACAGGCTGGACAGTCGAGGGGTATCTGGTGGTTAAGCAATAAGTATCATAAAGCTACTTTACAACATCTAATGCATTTCCTTGAACTATTTTTTCCAGTTTGAACTTGTTTTTAATTAAAAATATAAAATCTCCATCTAAGATTACATTAGAATTAGTTCCAGTAAAAGTTGCAACTGATATTAAATTTTTGTAATAATGCTTACATTATTATTTTATGTGAGAATTCAGGGACAATGCATTTTCCATGAGTTTTTTCCTATAGTTCAAAAATAAAGTTTCCCCATCAAAATTATTGTAGAAGAGATAAAAGTTTGCTTAATGGCAGGAACATGTAAAATACCTTTTACACAAAGAACAGCTTTTATTTCACTAAGACTAACTCTAAGATATTAAACCTTAAAAACAATAGCAAATCCTTACAAATGTATTCCTACACTGACAGTTGTTGAGAATATACTTTGCCTCATTACTCTACCTTAATATACAGTATAAATAATATCAAAGTAGATCTATGTTTCCATCTCAGGAACCATAAGCCTGCCTTTGACATTGTAGTATCTGCTTCATTTTCTACATGGTAAATTGAACTTATTTTCTTTATGATACATTGGATGAATCTATTTTCAACTTTATATTACAAAATTTTTCAAACATATACAAATGTAACAAGAATTTTATAACTAAACCCCACTTGCTTTAATAATAATCCAGTCATAGCCAATTCTGTTTTCTCTGTTGTCCCCAGTTTGGGGTAAAGGTAAAGTATATCATTGTATACAAATCTGAGTCTCCTTTCCAGTATCTCTGCATTAATTCCAACTTCTCCAAGTAGTTCCTATATATAATAAACCATGGAAATTACCTTTTCCATTAATTAAGATCTGCAGGAAGATGTAATGAGAGTGCTCTGGGCTCTGTTGTGATGTATGTCTTCTCCTCCATCAGGTGGCACAAAGGTTCCCTTGGTCAAGTGGGTACAGTGGACTCAGAAGAGGTGATGAGTGATGGCTCGTTATGTGCCTGGCCTTCCTCTTCCATCCTCCCTGCACCCAGCAGATATCTCTGTCACAAACAAGGGAATGTGTGATAATTCCTTCCTTGAAATTCATGAGCTTTGCATGCACTGTATATAGACTGGGCTACCAGAGGACCTGACTGACAGAGGAGCCACTCATGTCAACCTCACAGATCCAGATCAGCACAGAAGAGAGATGCGTTTTACCCCCAAAGTCAGCAACCTCTATGATGGCCCTTCAAATACTCCTGAGCCCATAAAAAAGGTTGGTGAATGGGGCCAATGTTTTATTTTGTCTAGATCTGCTCGTGGGTTTATTGTTTCCGGTGTCTAGTTATTATTAGAAAGTTCATGAGAGGGTACATCTTCAACATTCAAAATCGATTATTTGATATTTATTTATTTGTGATTCTAGGAATTGCTCAGTGTTCTGGGCAGTATGTAACAGTAAAAAGAAGAAAAACCCTCAGCTTTCATGGAGTTTATGTCATAATGTGAGAGACTAAACAAAATGTAAGTAAACAAATAATAGCAGTCATGTAAAGTGGTGGAGGGATAGAGCCTGACTGGGAACATAGAACCTACAACTTTATGCTACAGCCATGATGGTGAACCTGTGGCACGTGCCGCAGCAGACTGTATTGTTGAAAGCACTAAAAGGTTTGCCATCACTGTGCTAAAGGATATATTTGTCAGCATCAGCAGGGCCAGTGTTTCAAAGTGTGCTCTGGGAGCATCACAGCACCTAGGAGTCTTTTAGAAATTCAAGTTTCCAAAGATCTAAATATTTTATCTAAAAGTACAAAATCTACAGAATCAATATCTTTGGGGGAAAGAGATTTCCCAGTGATAATCATGCAGCTGAATTTTCAAACACACGGGACTAGGTTATGCAGTGATGGTGAAAACCCAAAACTAAAACCAGAGCTTCATAGTACATGCTTACGCAGGTCACCAAAGGATGGTTCTTAGAGTTTCCCAAGAGGCCCAGGAAGAGCAAGGCTACAGTGTGACCAGGAAGAGGAACACAATAGGTAAGCAGGAAAACTGGCCTGGAGCAACATCATAAAGTTGAGACCTGATAGATGAGCAAAATCCATCCCTGTGAAGAACATGCCAGAAATAGACATAAGTGAGAGCAGACACGAAGGCCAGAAAAAAAAGTAACTGCTCTTAGCTTATTCCAGAGATCAGAAATTCATGGAAGTAAAAGGTGAGACTGATACCATCTCATACCTTTGAGTGGTCAGTACACCAGGTTCAGCCATATATCCATGGTTTCCTTTGAAACAAATATGATTTAGGGAAGTGGTACCACAGAATAGAAAATACATGAGAATTGCTTCCAATCCCTGGTATGCCACTTTTTCAGCTATGTGTCTACAAGTAATTTATTCATGTTCTTTGATATTGAGTTTTTTTTATCTGTAAAGTAGGTTATAATACCTTCTTTTCAGGGTATTGCACAAATAAAATAAGGAATCTAAGGGATCTGTCTAGTACAACTTGTGGCATTTGTGTCTAGTAGCAGACACAAAGTATACTACTCTTTGTGTTTAATAGTAGACACATACTATATAGTGATGCCTATCTGGAATGAAAAAGATTCATGAAATCTTGGGAATTGAAGGGACTTTAAGAAGTCTCTGAGTCTGTGTCCCATCAGACACAACATTCCCCCAAAACTTCCTGGCAGTTTGTCATACAATCTTGCTTGAAACTCTAGTGACAAACTAAACTTCCCTTTCTGAGAAGGCTTTTTGAATCTAGCATTCCCAAAACTGTGCATTTTCAGAAACTGATCCATTAGTATGATTAATTTGTGCTTGAGGAAAAATGTGTTGAAAGATCAAATAAGTTTGAAAACTTTGGGGGTTCAATGAAGTTCCATAAGCTTATTACACAACTATTTAGATCTCATTATATTTTATAAAGTATCGTGATTTTCCAAAATAGTGCTATGTATGCAGTATTTTCCAAGTAGTACTTCCTTCCAAAGCCTTTTTTTGAAAAACACACTATTTAAATACTGATAAAAATTTTAGATATCTTTGCATTGAAGAAAACTCTGATAACAATTTGAAACTGCTTTTCATATTTCTTCTCTTTAGTACAACAGAAATATGTCACACAGCCTTTGACATAATAGATCCCTTAGAATTGATGTATGAGTTGAGGACATGATCTGACATAGAATGGAATGTGTCTTTGTGGTTGTTACAATATAATACCTTTAGTATCTGTTTTTAACCCTTGTTATGCATACAGGTAGATTGCTAAAAATGTAAGAGGTGGGACAAATTTCTCTGAATGATATTTTTAATTGAGCATTAAAGAAAGTATTTATCTGAAGAACAAAAGAAAGATTGTGCTCAATCTCCCACGTGTGCTTTTGATGCCTCTCATTATACGGCTACCCTTCTGCAGCAAAGTTATGCTATCATCTTTTAGTCCAGGCTGACCAAGGCAGAAAAGCTAAGGGATCGGCCAAGGCCACTGAGGGAGTTTATGTGTCAGCTCCCAAAGTAGAATGCAAAGGTGTCTGGCTCCTGTGGTCTGAGCTTGAGAACACATCACAGCTCTGAAGAGGTCATCTGATGCTGGGAAGGGAAACTGAACTGGCAACAGAATGAAAAGGTTTCAATGATATCCTTTCCCTCCTATGAAATCTTTGTGATGAGATCTTCTGATGTCTCCAAATCCACATTAGTTGTGTAATGTAATGAGAAATTGCCCCTGTCATCAAAAGCCTAGGACAGACAATAGATCTTCTTTGAACATTTTATTTGAGTAGTAATTCTTTTGCAAAAAAAGAGGCATCATGGATGTAATGCAAAGAACTGTGGAATGGGAAGCAGAATATCAGAGCTATCGCCTACCAGTGTGCCACCAATAAGCTGTGATAATAAGCAATACATTTCCCTTTTACAAATCAAATTCTTCATCATGAAAGTAAGTAGGCTGAACAAAATATCTATGTTTTATCCCATCTCTTCAGTACTATAGTCATAAGACATTCTATTTTTAATGAAAGGAATTCCCTTTAGTTCACAAAATCAGAGTTATAAGAAATAATTTTATTTATTAAAATCAACTTAAATGTGACTCTGAGCCACATTTGGCCAAGGCAAAATTCACTTTGACATTATTGGTATTAACATTCCCCACCTGGAAGACATAATCAAGTTCAGCACCTTATTCAGCATCAAATTATCAGCAAAACCTCTGGTTACCAGGTATAGAACCATACTAGTTGGCATTGAGATGTTGTGTCTACTGGCAAAATGCCCTCTGGTGTCAGGACTCACTGGTTCTGTGTCACAGTAAAGCACAGGTCCTTCTGCTGGGGATGTCATGTATGTCTAGACTCCTTCTTTGCCCATGAGTCATGAAGCCATTTCTGTCTTGGCTGTCTTCCAGAAAGCTGCCAGAGAGGATCTCTGCTGTTGTGGAATCTAAATTTCTGTCTTTTCAACAATTTAAGAGACTAACAGTCCCTAAAGACATTCTTTAGTCTCCCTGTACTCTCCAGGAAATAAACAGGCTCTGAAAGTTATTTTATATTGTTTAAAAAAAGAAAGAGCTTTTGTTTTTTGTCTTTAAGTAACTTACGCTGTATATTGACAAATACCCCCAAAGCTAGTAAATACTAAGTGGCTGGCCACTTGCTTAAAAAAGTAAAAAGGAAAAACATGGGAGACAAACATCAATGAATGTTTTGATAAATTATACTGACATTTGTAAGAGACAATTTTATGATCTGTAAGAAAGGCAAAACTTTTAAGTTGTTCTGGAAAATAACAACTGGGGAAAAAACAAGTGAGGTGGATCCTGGGACCTAGGAAGTGTCTGATGGGAAAATTGGAGCCTGTACATGGAAGAGACAGAACACAACGTGGGAGAGGGGGAGGAAGGGGCAACCTGTACTTTCTGCCTGGCTCCTGAGAAATGAAGACTGACTCTGCAGAGAAAAAGTGAAAGTGGGGGACTGTAGAGGCCTTCAAGGGAAATGCACCAATAGAACAGAGTGGTGTATGCTGTGTGCTGCAACAGCTGGTGAGTGACTCCAGTCCAAGTGCCTGCCATCCCCTAGAGGAGGTGGTGCATGCCATTCCAGGAAGGGATCAACTGAACCTGGGTCTCAGAACATCCACAAGTTGGCTTCCTTTTAGGTCTCCCAGTTACATTTACAGGGTCAGGGACAGCTATGGGAGACATCTGTGGTCAGGAAGCCATGGTCAGTCCAGCAAAAGACCTCTAGTGGTGTTTAAGCTAAATGACCTAGGGCCCACCCTCATAGGCAGAGGATAGGCTCAGCCTGAGTTGTGGATCTGAAAGTCCCACGGTTGGCACTGTTAGCCTAATCCTACTGCCTGCTTGCTGGTGACTGCACACAGTATAACAATAAGAATAGGGATGTAGCTTGACTTGGAAATTGCCTCAAAACTGTAGACCCTGGAAGAAAAAAACATGTTTGAAATCACAAAGAAAATTTTAAAAATTTTGTTTGTTTTTTGTGAGTGTAAGCATTGTTTTTAGTTTAGTTTTTTTCCCTCTTCTTTCCTTCCCTCCTTTCTTCTTTAGTTTCCTGTGCATTGGGAAATCTTTTGTTCTTCTCTCTTGCTTCTTATCCTTTTTTCCTCTTCTCCCTCCCCCCATAATATTTCCCTCTTATTTAATTTCTTTATTCTTCCATCTTCTATTTCTTGCCAGTTTTTTCTCTTACTTTTACCTATTCTATAAACATCCTTCCACTTCCCAATAAGCCTTTTTATCACTTCTTGCTCTCCTTCTCTTATCAATATTTGAAGTTTCAAAGTTTTTCTCTTGCATTCCTACATTCCCAAACCCTGTATCTTAAATAGTATAACCATAAAGATTTGCTGATCTTTTGATAGTTAATTTTGTAAAATTATTGTTGAATTCTTCTATCGTTTGCAAAGACAGAGTTAATATGTACTAAATGTGACAACTATAAGTCATAAACATTAAGGCAACCTAGGTTTTATCATAAGTGACAATTTCTTCTTTAGGATTGGTAGGACAT